GCAGTTGCATTATCATAAGTTGCCAATTTACATTATCAAAAGCTTTCTGTGCATCCAAAAATAACAATGCCATTTGTTTCTCGGGATGTACTTCATAATATTCTAATGCATTCGATATAATTCACATATTATCTCTAATTTGTCTCTTGGAAAAAAAACCATTTTGATCTGAGTGTATAAATTCACTTAACAGTCTTTTGAGTCTTTCCAGCATTATTGATGCGAAGATTTTATAATCCATGTTTAATAAAGAAATTGGTCTATAGTTCTTTATTTGCTGCAAGTCTGTTTCTTCTTTTGGGATGAGAGTTATATAGGCCACTGACCAAGAATCTGGTATTTTTGCTTTAATAACAGCTTATTGAATACTTCTAGCATAATGTTGCTTAGCCCTTCTTGTAGTGTTTTGTAAAATTCCGCTGGTAATCCATCTGGACCTGGTGTTTTCCCCTTTTTATTTCTTCTATTACTTCCATCATTGTTATTCTCTCTTCTAGTGTCTATTTAATTTTTGCTGGAATCGTAGGTATTTCTGCCTTCTTTAGATACTGTTTTATGTTTTCCTCTGCCACTGTGTCTTGCTGGTATAGTTCCTTATAATATTTTTCTACTATTTTTTTTCCTTTTCTTCTTTTTGATAACAAATATTCCCTTCTTGGTCTGATAATTGATTTATGAATGTTTTTTCTTTTTTTTTTCATCTTGTATGCCAACCATCATCCTGATTTATTTGCGTTTTCAAAGAAATTTTGTCTTGTGGCTTTTACTTTATTTGCCACTTCTTCATTTTCTATTAAATTCAATGTATGTTTTTCTAGGTCTATCAAATTTTTAATTTTAGCATTTTGTGGGTTTCTTTGTAGTTTTATTTCCTGTCTCCTGTGTTCCTCCTCTATCTTCTTTCGTGTTTGTCTGTTTTGTTTGTTTCTTTTTCCTAGATAAGTCATTACTAGTCCTCTAGTATATGTCTTGCTAGTATCCCACACATTCTGTAGGAATGTGTTCTCCTTCTCATTCTCTTTTTTAAAAAGTTCAATTCTTTTTCCATATATTGCTCAAATTCTTTTTCATTTAATAGATTTTGATGTAATGTCCATCTCATTTTTTTCTCTGACTTTTCCACATCATTATTATTGGATTGTGGTCTGCCCCATATACTTGTTTCTATGTCAATCTTTTGTGTTTTAGCAATTAGATCTATTGTTGTCCAAATCATGTCTATTCTTGACCACGACATGTGTCTATTTGAGTAAAATGTATATTGTTTTTCTTTAAAGTGTCTTCTTTTCCATACATCTTGTAGATTTAATTCCTCCATCATTGTAAAGAATGTTTTAGGCAGTGTTCTCCTTAACTTCTTATTAAATTTTTCAGTTTTATAATCCAACTCATTATTTACTATCGCATTAAAGTCCCCTAATATATATATTTCTTCATATTCATATTCTATTATCTTTTTGTGGAGTTTTCCATATAATTCTTCTTGATTGTCATTTGACGCATATATCGCCACCATCAATATTTTTTTGTTATTCAGCATTATTTCCACCATCAATATTCTTCCTTCTTCATCTTTAAATATTTGCTTTGATTGCATTGGCTTTTTTATGTACAGTGCCACACCTTTTTTTCTTTGATCAGCAAGTATCATATACAGCTTCCCCAATTTCAGATAATCCAAATATTTTTGTGTTGTTTTTTAATATGTACTTCTTGCAGGCATATTATATCTAATTTCAATTTCTCTAATTTATTAAATGTCCTCTTTCTTTTTATGCTTGAATTTAGTCCATTTATGTTTAATGAGATTATTTTTATTTCTTCTTCCATGTCTTAATTATTTATCATTTTAGTTGATCTAGTCACTCTCATCTCCATTTGTTCTTTCATCTCTTTTGCTCTTGCTCCTTCTCTTAATGCCCTTTCTTCTTGTTCTTTAGCTAGTTCTCTCTGTTCTTTCTCATTCTCTTTTTGTAGTTTTGTTCCTCTTTCCTCTCTCAGTCTCTCTTCTTCTTGTGGTCCAAAGTATTGTTCATAAAATAACTCTGCCTTCTCTACTGTACCCAGCCTATGTCTTTGTTCCTGCCAAGTTACCAAGTATTCCTTCTGGTATTAGCCATCTGAAATTAACTCCTTTTTTATTAGGCGTTTAGTCAAGAATTGATATTCTCTTCTTAGAT